TCTTACTATTGTCATTATTCTACCCACTTCATTTTGCTTTATTTTTAATTTTACACACACTTGATTTTTTTACCTGCATTATTTATGTCCTCATACCTTGTTATCTAGTTCTTTTCTTAGCTCTGATGAAGGGCTCAACTTAAGGTCAAAACGTCACGTCGGCAAATGTTAAAATAAATATTATTTATTTTTATCTTTTTATTTCTGACTGATCACACCAACCATCCTTCTCTTCATTATTTATTCACGACAGTCAACCAACAACCCACAATTATGAACTTAATTTTTTAAATTACTGTTAAATTATTTTTAAGTATCGTCGAACTTAATGGTACAATGCATAACGGATAAACCCTCAACTGTTTAGGATAGGCAAAATCGTTTGAAAAATGAAATTTTTACAATTCTAGATCTTTTTTTTTTTTAATAAATAAATGCTAAAAGAAATTTATTCTGGAGTATAAAAAGATAATAGACTAATTAGTACAGCTAAAATTAAGGTAAAAATAAAATAATCCTTAATCAATACTATTTGTGAGACTAATAAGCCTTAGGCGCCGAACTTTTTATCAATAGAAGCTACTTAAACATTAGGCAGAGTGAAAAGAAGCTGCAATAAATAAATGTAAGCACATAGCCAATATACATCATATATTCAACATAAATCCCTTGATTTACAAATATTCATTACTTAAATAATTAAATACTAGTAGGCCCGTGCGAAATAATAGCACAGCATAATGTTAAGTGATGAAATATAAATTAATAAGAAAAGAAAATAAACCAACGTCTCATAAGTAAAAAAAATCAATAGTGACTTTATCCGTGACAAAGAAAATCAAAATTAATTTAAAACCTCAATAACAATTGGAAGCAACATGTTTACAAATTTCAATAAGCTGTATCTTAGCTAAAAAAGGTCCGATTTCGATGATTTTTTTCCTTTTGTAAGAAATTTAGTAATCTTTTATATAATCATGAGATATGGATATCTTATTTATAAAATATATGAGATATTTTATATACAGGATATAAATATAAATAGGAAAGTTTGTAATTCTTGAGTTATTCGCTAATAAAGTTTGTTTTCTCTCATAACTTGTTAGCTTGAATTTTCGGGGTGATTGGACTATTTTGCCCGCCTGAAGGAGAAGGAAGCTTTCAATATTGGGGGCTAATATGATGTGGCTAGCCGAAAAAAAAACACCTTCTATAAATAAAATAAAGTCCTCTCGCTCATAGGAGCCTTAAGTGTACGAAATGAGACATGTATTCAATGTGAGTACTACAATTAACGTAAGGTTGTGTGGATGCGAACCCGAAGCCTTGCGTTATCTGGGAAATAGTACGGTTTCGAGCTTAAAAACTCAAACTGTACGCATCAAAATCTTCAAAGCCCAATTTGTTCCGTATCAATCTACAGACTTACCATCCTTCCAGTATTGAAGCCTAGCAAAATGCTTGTATCGACTTTATGTATTTTGCAAATAAAAACATAAGCGGAGAGTACGATTCGCTAACCCCCGCGAAGTTCTAAATCCAACGGCACCCCGTTCATGGTATTTGATTATGACAGGAGCTTATGTTTGGGACAAAACCGATTTCGAGCCTTGCTGTAATAATAAATTAGAGGATTAATTATTTCAAGCGATGGATTAATAAAATTCAAGCAAAACTATCGTGGACAGAAGCAAGGTGGAGGATAACGCATGCTGCTTCGAGGGCGCATCTTTGTAATAAGCTATTTAACGTTTAATGCAATTATGACATATAAGTCTTCTCATACTTAAGACCGACATCTGCCATTTTTAGGAAGTTGAGAATAATCCGATTATAGTTTTAGGTTCAATTTAAACTGTTTTTGTTGATTGCGTTTAAGAACGTTCAAGTTGAATCATCAGAAAAAACATTAGAATTGAGTTAGTTTTTACCAAAATAGGCTTTTTCTCAACTTTTTAAAAATTACGGATTTCTGTCTTTGATACTAAACAACGCATACATATACTACTGTCTTACGCATACATATACTACTGTCTGTCTTTGATACTAAACAACGCATATATACTACTATCACGCTAATGCGTGTATAAGTTAATTTAATTAATATAATTGAAAATTATATAAGGCATATAATATGTTCCGATGACAATGCTAAACCTTCAACGTAGTTCAATCTTGCGGTTTAACCGTGCTTAGTTATTCCGGCGCATAACAAAAGATTTTACAAATATCATATTAACTTTTAAGATCTATACACAACTTTCATTATAATAATAATTGTTAAATAAATCAGAATTGACTCGGACTATACAATAGAAGTTTCATAAATACAACAAACAAACTTACAAAAAATACAGAATAACAAAAACAATATTTTGAAAGTATGGATTTATATAGTAAACGCTAGTTTAGTTATAGTTAATCCTCGGTAGGAATGTTGGAAAAATATACATCGAGACACCGATAATTAAAAAAGATCAATATTCTTTTCCGATATTTCTAAACCAATACTTTTTTTTTTTTTATATTTTCATCCACACCTGTCATGAGCTAGACAATAAGCAGATGTGCTGTAACTAAACTAAGTATTACATCTGGCCTAAAATAAACATCTGTAACTAAGTATTACATCTGGAAATACTTTATAATACTAATTCCAATATTTAAATTTAACTAACGAAACAGCTATTTTTTCCCAAAGATTCCTACAGAAAAATCACCGGTTAGTAAATAACAAATATTGGTTTGAAATATTTCTATATATATATATATATATATATTAAATATCTGAAAAATATTGGGATTGAATTTTTTTTTTTTTTTTTTTTTATTTGGGATTTCTAAAACTTAAGGAGGCATATCCCTAACACTTAAAAGCCACAGTTCTCTGTCTATCCAATCTCCTTCACGGAGCCCTCTGGCTACCATGCATTTCTGTTTTGGATTTGAAAGCGAAATATTTTTTTAGTGGCAATAATAACTACCAATTATTAACAATACCTTTTATTCCCATCTTCAGAATTGCAATTCCAATACTCTTGTGGATGCAAGGCTAAAAAATTTTTAAAGTTACAATATTGTGCTTGTTACATTACATATTTGTATTATGTTTGTTACAATAAATTTGTAATTACCTTAATTCTAATAATAATAATAATGATACAATACAATACGCATTACAAAAAACAACAGTCAACTACAAAACAGACACTAAACATTTCGGTTGAATAAAGGTCCCGGAACGTAAACTAGACTGTTAACATGTAACGTTAAAAATATAATCGTATTGTTAATAATTGGAAGTTATTATTGCCAAGCAACTAAATAAATTGACAACTTCCCAGGAAAAAAAGTAAAAAGCGAAATATTTTTTTCCGATGAATGGGTGCTGGCCCTACGATCAACCTTTTTCAAACTGCAAGGACAGTGGTTTGATTTTGAGGTTGCCTTCCCCTAGACAGGTTGCCTTCACTGTGGCTATGAGTCCTGTCCACCCAGGTCGCAGTTTAACGTCATGCCCGGGTCGATATCGTATAAATCTTAGCAACTTATATTTTTCTATAGTTTTATAGATTTCAGGCATTATCTGGATTTTAGTATTTAAATTTAAGTGAGATCCCTTAATTCAGTTTTTATTAAGGTGTTATCAGGCATGTTAATGTCACAGTGCGTAAAACTAACTATCTAAAGATAGGTTTATTGAGAATCATTCATTGAGAAGTAGCTATAAGACTTGTTTAAGAAAAGAAAAAGTTGATAAGACAATAATCCTTTTTAAATCACTGTATAAAGGGTTATATATTTTGTTATCTATCCACACTCAAGTGTATGCCTTATTAAGGTATACACCTTATCCTTAACCTTAAATTAAGGTCAGTTTAGTAATGATCAAATTAGTGAACTAATTTATTTATTATTATTAAATCAACGATTATTATAAATGATTAATAATTATTATCCACTTAAGTATGATATTAACAAAATAAAGGTCAAAATTGAAAATGGATTATATTTCTAGAAGGACGCCTCCAGATTTACAATTTAGAAAGCATGCAACAGATCTACTTTAGTAGGGGTTCTGTTTGTAATCTTATTTTTAATAACATGGGTACATTTACATCAAAACAGCAAATACGACAGCAGATATTACTGTTTTGGGAAATGATTTATTGAGAAGTAGCTACAATAATATTTGAAGTGAAGAAAAAGAAAAAGTATTTTGATTTATCAAAATCACAAAAAATTAAATACAGAAAGATATATTTTTCAAAAGAATAAGTAGAATATAAAAAACATTTGAAATACACTATAAACCAGGAAATATTATTAGTTTAATGGAAAAGTAGTATTTTGCATTTGTATTAAACATTTTCGTGACGAAAGGGATTATTAAAATTCTTGTACTACCTAGGGGAGGGGGTTTTAGTAAGTTATCAGTAGACTGTGTAGTAATAGAGGGCCCAAGATATAATTATGAGAGGGCTTCAATTCGTATATATATATATATATATATATATATATATATATATATATATATATATATATATATATAGAGAGAGAGAGAGAGAGAGAGAGAGAGAGAGAGAAGAAAATGAAAATATACAATAATCCAACTAACTATAGTCGGGTCTTCAGCAAAAAGTACTTTAACCCTAGAGCCGCCTGTGGAGTTTGGATATATATACGAATAGACAAATACATATAAATACAGAAACATATACATATAAACGATTTCTAATATTTTTAATACATCTAACTACTTTTTTTTCAACCATAAACATTGTCTTTAAAGATTTTTATCCACACTCATGAACATCATAAATGAAGTCACAATATTTTAAATGCGTTATGTTGTAATAAATAAAAAAGTAAATAAAAGTCACGGTGACAGACAATCATGATAGAATGGCCATTAGAGGTAACAGAATTGCCTCAAGAACAATGACGAATCTTTTTATTTTATTTCATTATCTAAAAAATATTTATAATTATTAACTCACGCGGGAGTTGGAGGTCTAGCGGCTGTGTACATGTTCCCAGCACTACCGGCACTGAATTCAAACTCACCCCCTCCAGTTTTATATCGAACGCAGTATCCTTGGAAACACATCTTGAGTATAAGGTTTGGTTAATTTTTTTCTTTTTTTTTTAACAATAAAGTTAAATATTGAAAACTAAACACCAGGGTTAATAGGAGTGATGTACGGTGATTTCGATCGAAAAGCAAAAATATTTTATAGAAATGTTCTTCCAGAAAAGATTCGAATTATGGTGAACAAAAAAAAAAAAAGTGAATTGATCAAATAAAATTATTCGTGGAAATTTACAAATATCCAAATTTATAACGTAGATTTTAATTATACTTTTCTACCTAATGTTCCAAAATTAAATTAGAATGACAAGAAATACTATTACAATAGGATTTTCATTCCTAAATATTACAGTACACTAAGTTATAAGTTTTTTTATCATCATTTTAATTTCAACTATCCAACCAAACCATGCATAGATACAAGAAAAAAGAATTAACATTTGTTCAATAAATAAGCTAGATCATTATATTTTTATTATAATATTGGATTTTAAAAACATTGTTGTCAACAAATAATTATTTTATACCAGATGAATACTTTTATATTTTCTAAAAATTACAACAGTGTTTATCTAACCTTCGACAGTAACTCGGTATAATATTTATAGTTTTTAAAAAAACACAAAAATGATATAATTCATGAACAAAAATATGCACTATTGCAAAAAAATGATTTCATTATTTCATAAGTTACTAACTTTGCAACCGCTATTTTAATATGTCCTAACTCAGGTATACTTCCTTAATTCATACAATATATATTTGATATGTCACATATTTATTTATGTTATGTTTAATTATCTACATTCTATTTTACATACATATTATTACTATTACTGCCAACTATGTTCCCAAAATATATATATATATATATATATATATATATATATATTATTTATATCTAGGCTTTACATAGCCCTGATAAAGGAGGAAACTTAGGTCGAAACAAATTGGCACAAAGGAAATAAAAATAAATATAATTTATTTATTTTTATTTCGTTGACTGTTAACCTCAAATAACTTCTTTTCAATATATTTTCTACAAATATATTGTATATTCAAGTATCTTATTTATTTGAAAATGCTCCAGTATTATTCATTGACAATTTGTGCAACATACTCCCTTAGATGTTAATGTTTATAACAAATCAATTTGTAATATTTACAGTACACGAAGTTATAAGTGTTTTTATTATAAGTTTTAATTTCAACTATTCAACCAAACCATGCATTGATACAAGAAAGAGGAATTAACATTTGTTCAATAAATAAGCAAGATAATTATATTTTTATTATAACATAGGATTTTAAAAACATTGTTGTCAACAAATAATTATTTTATACCAGTTGAATACTTTTATATTTTCTAAAAATTACAAAAGTGTTTTTCTAACCTTCGTCAGTAACTCGGTATAATATTTATAGTTTTTAAAAAACACAAAAATGATATAATTCATGAACAAAAATATGCACTATTGCAAATAAATGACATAATATTCCTATAGGAAAATTCTCTATCAATAAATTTGTAGCATGAGTTTAATATGATATTTTAAAATTTATTCATGGTTCCTGTTTACATTATGACGATTTAAATTTTACTTCAACGGTATAAAATCTTATCACCAATATTTTCACTTTTAGTAGAAATTAAAAACTTTAAGAATATTACTTTATTTATGAATACAGACTTATGACAATACTGTGAACTATTTCCAATATTCAAAAAATTCAATCTTTCCAGTCCAAAATTTTGTGGATAGTTGATAGTTTTATGTCGCGAACGATATATTACATAAAGACAAACCTTAAAAGCACTAGAGACCCGTACCGCCCACCTCGACAAAAACATAGACGATGGCAAAGAAACCTACTGTACTGATTTATTTTCTGGATATGTGAAGGGACATTGTGAAGTTGCCAACAAATTTACTCATTGCAAAGATATTTGCAGATCGAAAATTTAATTTGATTTTCAGTTTTATGTTTATGTAATAATAATACTAATAGTCTATTTTTGATATTCAGCCTGAAAACAGGCTGAAAAACAGCCTTGAAAAACAGCCTGAAAATCTCCTGGAATCCTGCTTTTCCTTCCACATGTGAAGAGAAAACCGGGAGTAACGAGAATTCTCTTGCCAGTTTGTAAATAGCTTTGTATATATTATTTTACATGAATTATCATTAAGTTTATTTTATTTTTATTTATTGTAGATAATGTTTCATTATTATTTATTGTAAGTACTGTATTATTATTATTTATAGTAAATAATGTTTTATTATTATTTATTTGTTGATTTTCTTTTATATATATATATATATATATATATATATATATATATATATATATATATATATATATATATATATATATATATATATATATTCTGTAAATATGGTGTGAATGTACTCATTCCGCACTGCAAGGTATGTCCATATTGTGACAAAATGTTACATTATTCGACAATAATAAAAAAAATATCAACTATGGATGGAATTTTTTTTTATTTATATATTAAAACCTTTATTTCTTATTTAATAATAAAAAGTATACGTAAATACAACAGCCACACTGGAATCCTGTAAATACATTTCTTTATGACGAAGACCGGTTTCAGATTTTACAGGTCAAACTTTGCCTCGTATTATTAAAATATAAACAATTTTTTGAAACATTACATCATTGTTTTGAACAAAGATCAAACATGATGAAAGAACTAGAAAACCTTACCAATAGAATAATATTATTTTTATCACAATTTAAATGCTGACTAATTCTAACCCCTCTATAACTCTCTTGGAATGAAAAAGATTCCATTCCGCTAATCACTCACACATCCTTGAATCTAACCAAAAACCAATTAAGCAAGACGAAAAATCCAGAAAATTAATCAAGAATAAGCGGTTTATTTCGATATATAAATAATTTTAGTTTTGGCACGCTTTTGAAGTGTGGTTGTAAAAATAATGTCAACTTTTTTTTTTTCTTTTTATAGAACGGGAAATAAAGGTTTGATTAAAACTAAAAGAAATTTTAATATTCAGTTCTAGCACAACATTAAAATGTAACTAGTAAAGTTTATATATTCACAACAATTAAAAGTTATTCGTTTGATGTTTTATCACAAAGGTATGTATGATATATAATCAAAACTGTCTACGATTCTAATGAATGAATGAAAATTATAGGGACTAGTGTCCCTTTAGAATAAGTTACAAGTATAGAATATATATTAATATTCTGGTATGCCCATATAATACAATTAAATATTTACAGGATGATTAATAAAAAAATAAAAGTATTGATAATAAAATAAAAACGAGCATAAAAATAAATGCGCTCTCCACTACTAGACAATATCGTCGACTCACCGTTTATAGACGTGAGAATCGGAATGATACGTTGCATGTTATAAGTTACCTCGTTTCCTTCCACTATTTTCTTTATATTAAAGAATACACTCCAACAACTTCATCAGTGAAAGTAAAACGGTTCACACTTATGGAATTTAGTCCCAATATGAGCTCCAAATTATTACTAGCACTACGTAACGTGAGATTGATACTAGCACTACGTAACGTGAGATTGAGATAACTGATGATGTTTACTTGACGGAAGCACTGATATAATAGGGTGTATACAAAAAAATTATCTTTTTAACAAATTTAAGATTATAAAAGACTAAATATTTTAATCATATTAATATTTACTAATACTCATTTATCTCTTTTCAGTATTCACTAAGCTAGTCACATCCCATTCGACTTCTTCAAAAAAAAAAAAGTCTCAGTTTAGTTCCTAGTTTTAAAGAAGAAACAAGACAAATTCTCTTAATTTTAATGCATTACTGGAAAAAAGTTTTACAGCCGCTGAAACAACTCGTAAAGTTAATAAATATGAAAGGGAAGGTGTCCTTGACCAGCGCACCGCGCGGCGTTGGTTTGTATAATTTAGCAGCTGAGTGAGATATGACTTTGGAAAGGAAGGGCTCCAGGCGACCATTAATGGATATTGATGATGTTCTGCAGGAAGCTATTGATGTACTTACTCAGGAACTTGCCTGAGAGTGCGGTGTGTGGACAGATACTGTCAGTCGCGATCTACTCTCCATTGGGAAGTTGAAAAAGAGGAGTAGACTGGACCCTCACAAACTTACTCCACAGCAATCAGCTAAGAGGTTAGAAATTTGTTAAAATTTATTGAAAAATCCATGCCTGAAAAACTCGTGCTTCATCTACCATATAGATAGTCCGGACCTTGCACCATTAGATGACTACTTATTTAGATCCATGGCCCATTTTCTTCAAGGGAAAAAATGACATCCATCCCAAAGAATGGTAGCGTGGTATCGAGCAATTGGCTAATGACGGTAGATAACAATGGACTATATTTTGAGTTTTAATTGTATTTTATTTCAAAGAACTAATAATGCAAATATTTGATTGAAAAACGGTCATTTTTCTTTATAAACCCTATTATAATTGTCATCATGGATAATTAATGTAATGCTTCATATTTAAAATGAATATATTTTTTTTAAGTGATGTTTCATAATAAATTGGATATTAAAAGACATTACTGAAATGAAATAAATCTGTGATAGATGAATATTAACAGTTGGCAAAAAATACTATGGGGCCCACGTGCCCAATACGGCCATTTTCTGCTAGTGTCAGAACCAATACTGAACATGATACCATTGATAATTTAAAATTTTTACATTTAAATCAGGGAGCGGGGAAGCTCAGCTGTAGTGCACTAAGCATCTAATGCTCAAGTTCGCAGGTTCGAATCCCAGCTTTTGGCAGACAAATTATTTATTCTTTTTCGTTGACCGAGTGGGGACCCTGGGGTAGGGAGACCCTCCTGGGGCACACCCATCCTATACAAAGTGTGTACCCTTAAATAAAAAAAATAAATAAGCGGAAAACAAAACCATTGCCTTG